TGCCATGCATCCCATTTATGCCATGCATCCCATTTATGCCATGCATCCCATTTATGCCATGCATCCCATTTATGCCATGCATCCCATTTATGCCATGCATCCCATTTATTCCATGCATCCCATTTATGCCATGCATCCCATTTATTCCATGCATCCCATTTATGCCATGCATCCCATTTATGCCATGCATCCCATTTATGCCATGCATCCCATTTATGCCATGCATCCCATTTATGCCATGCATCCCATTTATGCCATGCATCCCATTTATGCCATGCATCCCATTTATGCCATGCATCCCATTTATGCCATGCATCCCATTTATGCCATGCATCCCATTTATGCCATGCATCCCATTTATGCCATGCATCCCATTTATGCCATGCATCCCATTTATGCCATGCATCCCATTTATGCCATGCATCCCATTTATGCCATGCATCCCATTTATGCCATGCATCCCATTTATGCCATGCATCCCATTTATGCCATGCATCCCATTTATGCCATGCATCCCATTTATGCCATGCATCCCATTTATTCCATGCATCCCATTTATGCCATGCATCCCATTTATGCCATGCATCCCATTTATTCCATGCATCCCATTTATGCCATGCATCCCATTTATTCCATGCATCCCATTTATGCCATGCATCCCATTTATTCCATGCATCCCATTTATGCCATGCATCCCATTTATTCCATGCATCCCATTTATGCCATGCATCCCATTTATTCCATGCATCCCATTTATGCCATGCATCCCATTTATTCCATGCATCCCATTTATGCCATGCATCCCATTTATTCCATGCATCCCATTTATGCCATGCATCCCATTTATGCCATGCATCCCATTTATGCCATGCATCCCATTTATGCCATGCATCCCATTTATGCCATGCATCCCATTTATGCCATGCATCCCATTTATGCCATGCATCCCATTTATGCCATGCATCCCATTTATGCCATGCATCCCATTTATGCCATGCATCCCATTTATGCCATGCATCCCATTTATGCCATGCATCCCATTTATGCCATGCATCCCATTTATGCCATGCATCCCATTTATGCCATGCATCCCATTTATGCCATGCATCCCATTTATGCCATGCATCCCATTTATGCCATGCATCCCATTTATGCCATGCATCCCATTTATGCCATGCATCCCATTTATGCCATGCATCCCATTTATGCCATGCATCCCATTTATGCCATGCATCCCATTTATGCCATGCATCCCATTTATGCCATGCATCCCATTTATTCCATGCATCCCATTTATGCCATGCATCCCATTTATTCCATGCATCCCATTTATGCCATGCATCCCATTTATGCCATGCATCCCATTTATTCCATGCATCCCATTTATGCCATGCATCCCATTTATTCCATGCATCCCATTTATGCCATGCATCCCATTTATTCCATGCATCCCATTTATGCCATGCATCCCATTTATTCCATGCATCCCATTTATGCCATGCATCCCATTTATTCCATGCATCCCATTTATGCCATGCATCCCATTTATTCCATGCATCCCATTTATGCCATGCATCCCATTTATGCCATGCATCCCATTTATGCCATGCATCCCATTTATGCCATGCATCCCATTTATGCCATGCATCCCATTTAATTTATGCCATGCATCCCATTTATGCCATGCATCCCATTTATGCCATGCATCCCATTTATGCCATGCATCCCATTTATGCCATGCATCCCATTTATGCCATGCATCCCATTTATGCCATGCATCCCATTTATGCCATGCATCCCATTTATGCCATGCATCCCATTTATGCCATGCATCCCATTTATGCCATGCATCCCATTTATGCCATGCATCCCATTTATGCCATGCATCCCATTTATGCCATGCATCCCATTTATGCCATGCATCCCATTTATTCCATGCATCCCATTTATGCCATGCATCCCATTTATTCCATGCATCCCATTTATGCCATGCATCCCATTTATGCCATGCATCCCATTTATTCCATGCATCCCATTTATGCCATGCATCCCATTTATTCCATGCATCCCATTTATGCCATGCATCCCATTTATTCCATGCATCCCATTTATGCCATGCATCCCATTTATTCCATGCATCCCATTTATGCCATGCATCCCATTTATTCCATGCATCCCATTTATGCCATGCATCCCATTTATTCCATGCATCCCATTTATGTCATGCACCCCATGCACGCGTGTCCCATGTGAGCAGGACTCAGTGGCAATGTCGGGCCACGGCAGCGAGCATGGAGTGCCGGCATTCATGCACCTTGCCAACACTGCAGCCGTGCACGAAATAGTCCGTGCATTCACCCACCAATCACGCGCACACACACACCCACATAGCCCACACCCCCATACTTCCCTCCCCCTGCCAGCCTCTTTCCCTGCCTCTGCCTCTGCCGGCCAGTCGGTGCGGCGGCGGCGGCTGCACATCATAGCCATTGGACTTTACGCCGGGCCGCACTGGATCGAGATCTTCATGCGCCTCGCCGCCCACTTCTCCTCCCCCCCTTTCCTCCCCGCCACCGCTGCCACAGCCAATGGGCATCCGCCAAGTGGCATCCCAGGTGGGGGAGCAGGGGCAGTACCGAATGGAACTGGTGGGGATGTGAGCGGTGTTCAGGGCAGAGCAGGGGCGTTCGGAGCAGGTTCAACTGGGGGAGGTGCGGCTGCAGATGCACCTGTGGCAGGCAGAAATAGCTTTACCAGCAGCGGCAGCAGTGGTAGCACGCACCCGACAACTCCCTCCGCACCTCTTTCACACGCTACTCCCCCCTCCCGCCCCACGGCCCATGTGAAAGTCACAGCCGTTGATTTTGGGTTCGTCAGTCTGGAGGACTATCCAACGGGCCTGGTGCATCTGGGCGGGCAGTACCTGGAGCAGGTGGCATCTATGCTCGGCCTCTCCCTGTCGTTTCACGGCATGGAAACCACGCCACACGACTTCCACCCGTCACAAGTGGAGGTGGATGAAGGCGAGGAGGTAGTGGTGCTGGCCAATTGGGGCCTCATGGTCTTTCCAGACAACACGGTGCTTCGCTCCAATCCCCGGAACGCGATTCTCAAGTGGATTCGGGACCTGCGCCCGCTGCTCCTCCTCCAAGTAGACGCCGATCTAGACGCCAACGGGCCCTTCTTCCTCTCGCGCTTCCACGCCGCGTTCGCCAACTTTGCTGCGCTCGTCGAGTCCTTTGATGCCACCATGCCGCACGCCGCCACGCAGCGCTGCATTGCGGAGTCCATCCTGGCGCGGGACTTAATCAACGAGGTGGCATGCGAGGGCATGAACAGATGGCTGCGCTCGGAGCGGCTCGAGATGTGGGTGCATCGGATGAGAGCGGTGGGGCTGGAGCCGGTGCCGATAGGGCCGGACACATTGGCTGCTGGGAAGGCGATCACGGAGGGAAAGGACAAGAGGTTCCGGCTGGAAGTGCATGGTGAGACGGGCGCCCTGCAGCTCAGCTGGCGCGGCGTGCCCTTGATCTTCGTGGCGGCCTGGCGATGAGCTTAGAGGTGTCTTAAAAGCTGTGGCGTCCGGATGATCTTCGTGGCCGCCTGGCGATGAGGTTGGAGTCGGTCTCACAAGCTGCAGCGCCTCGATGATTGTTGTGGTTGGCCGTTGGCCCTGATGATCGTTCTCACCCACAACTTGGCCAGGCCAGCATAGCCAAGCTCAGGAAGACAGGTCTTATCAAACCAGGGTAGGTTCAGGTCGGTTGATGTCCCTGTAAACCTACCCCAGCTCAGCTGGCGCGGCGCACCCCTGTTAACCTCCACACCTCTTGCCCTATTTTGCTCATGTTTCTTGTGCTTAACGTTCTGCATTTGCTTGTGCGTGTCCATCGTGCCTCCCTTTCTGACTTGCTTTTTTCCTTGTGGAAATTCTCACTGGAGTGTGCTGAGACTAATTTTGCACGTATGCCATCCTAACTGTTGCTGCAGGTTCCATATTCTGTGCTTCAAGCCATCCAATAAAGAGCTGTATGACAAGCACTCCGCGATCCTTCCCTCCAGCGACTTGGGAAAACTCTTCAACGACTTAAAATGACGTCGACCACGAATTTTAAATGGACAAGCATTCGTCTGAAGTGCTAACGTCTGGTCTAGGAAGGAGGATTGAAGTGGCAAAGAAACTGATATTTTCCAACATTTTATGGTTCATCAGGAATGGTGTACCGTGCCGAACGAAGAAGAGTCCTTCATGGGGAATTCACACCTCGGGAATTCACACCTCGGGAATTCACACCACGGGAGACAATGCACACTTCTCCACTCCATCTGCAGCTTTTTTTTGGCAGACTTCCTCGCTCCATGACTGATCACGTAGACGTAGCTTGGTTCGTTGACGTGGCGATCTTCTTGTCTGCACAATTAAAGTCTCTGTGGCGCAGTCATGAGCGGCGGGCCGTTCACAGTCGTTGTCTCTGATGACCTGGCGCTAGCCGACGTTGAGCATTGGCTGTCGTTCGACGAAGCCGCTCTGCCTCCTTCGCCTTCCATCGACGACCCAATCTTGCAGACGCAAGGTCTCCCGGAGTTGCCGTTTACTACCCTAGATCCGTCTCTCGCTTTCCTAGGCGATGATGCTCCTATAGGTGATATGTACATAGGAGACAGTAACACAGACTATGTTCCTACACGCGATGCTCCCGCTAACCAAGTCGAAGCTAGTCCAAAATGGCGACAGGATGAGTTACCTGGTGCGGAATTGGAGAGGGGGACTCCACCTGATTCGGATGGCGTGGATCCCCGACGACAGTCAGAGACACGCGAGGCGTGTACGCATGGATTCGGTGAAGCAGATGCGATTATAACAACTTTCGCGGATTTAATAGATGCGTGGGACTCCAGTGGCGTGAGCCATAGCCATGACTCTGCCACGCGCGAGGACGGCGTAGTAGAAAGGGTTGAGTTGTTACGTCCGGGGACGAGGCATGTCCCGGACGCAGGAACCGTTCTCGCAGCCAGCAATTTTGCAGCCAGCAGTTTTGCAGCCAGCAATCTAGACACGTGCCTGCCAGAGCAGGCTGGTCCGTCCACGTGGCTTCCTGATGCACCTCGGGATTCGGAGGGGGGATTAGAGCAAGGTTTGCCTGCCACGTCAGCTTCCGCTCTGCGCGCATTTCAGCCTGATGGTTTTGGTTCGCAGGTGCTGACCTTCGAGGAAGCTTCGGAGAGGCTGTTCGTGGTGACAGCACCAGCGACTTTTCAGAGCGCGAGGGGCCGCTGTGAACAGGTGCAGCACGAGCAAGCACAGAGGGCACAGCTCCTGCCGCCAGGGCAGGATAAACCGCAGAATCAACTGCTGACGTCGCAGCAGCAGTCGCAGCAGCAGCTGCAGCAGCAGTCGCAACAGCAAAGGCAATATAACGATCTGGGCGAGCAGCAGCAGCAGCAGCAGCAGCAGGGAGCCCTTCAGCCGAGCGTATCCGCTGGCACGCGGCCTCTCCCCTCCACCATCCATGCTCGTCCCTCTCCCTTCCAGTGCTCCTCCCCCGCCCAGCGCCCCTCACCCTTCCTCGGCGGTGACATAGGAGTGGGCGGGCTCAGGGGGCCTTCCACCGATCCTCCCTCCGCTCCCCCCCCGTGCAAGCTGCCTCGGCGCCCCCCGGACCTCTCCTCCCGCCTCGCCGCCGTGCTGCAAAACATCAACCCGCCGCGCCCTGCGCCGTCCCCCTGGCCACCCTTCCCCCGCTCGACCAAGCCGGACCTTTCTTCTCCTGCCACGCCCGCAGCTCCCGCCGCGCCTGCAGCTCCCTCCTCTGCCAGTGCATGTACTGCTGCAGCTCGGTCGGTCGCCGTGCCGGGATTATCCGCAGCGGTAGCAGCAGCGATTCTACCAGCACCACCTACAGCAGCAGCAAAAGCAACAACAACAGCAGCAGTAGCAGCAGCAGCATCATCAGCAGTAGCAGCAGCAGCATCATCAGCAGTAGCAGCAGCAGCAGTAGCGGTAGCAGTAGCTTCTGCAGTGTCTTGTATAAATACGCCTGAGACCAGGTTTGTGGTTGGAGGCAGTCGGGAAGACGCGGGTCGTCCCATGGGCTCAACACTGCTCGCCTCTGCTGTTCGCACTAGCGACGCTGCTGCGTATGGATATGACCAGCGAGTGCAGTGGCCAGCATCCTTTTCGGACAACAGTGCACTCAGCAGAATTCGCGTCAGTACGGCGCGCAGCAACCCACTGAGGACTTCCCGGGGCAGTGCAGAGCAGAGCGGAGCAAGCAGGGCGTCTGTCGCCGCCCCCCACGTTATTGCATTCGGCCCCGAGAGGCCTCTGCGAGTGGATATGTCAGGCATGCTGCCGCGGCCGATGAGTGGCGCGAGGGAGGGCATGCTGAAGCAGCAGCTCATGGCTCTCGCTGAAGCCATGGCCGTTGATGACTCGGTGCGTGGGGCTCGTGTCAAGTGGGGAATGGGATGCTTAGTCGAGAATCAGGCGTGGCTTGTGTGAAATGGTTCCTCCAATCACTCTCCCAATCACTCCCCCACTCACTCCTCCAATCACTCCCCCAATCACTCCCCCAATCACTACCCCTCTCACTCTCAACCAAACCCCTACCCCACCAGGTGCGGTGGCGGCAGTTCATGCGGCAGGTGCAGAGGGAGGCGGCACCGGGGGGGGACACGCTGCAGCGTATCGCCTTCCATGCGCTGGAGGCGCTGCAGGCGCGCATGGATGGCACCGCGCTCACCCGATGGTGCACCCCCTTGCAAATCACCCTTCAGGTACTTGCTAACGTTGTTAGTCATCTCTATGCGTATATGTATCTGGATGTGGATTTATAACTTCACACACACGCACGCACGCACGCACGCACACACGCACGCACGCACTCACGCACGCACGCACGCACACACAGACACACAACACAGGGCACGTCCCCTTTCCAGTCAGGCTCTGTATGTGCTAAGCTTACAGTGTTTCGTGCATGCCACGTGTCCCGTGCATCGCATTCATCCATTTATGCCATGCATCCTATGCATGCCACGTGTCCCGTGTGAGCAGGATTCCATGGCAGTGTTGGGCCACGGCAACGAGCATGGAGTGCCGGCATTCATGCACCTCGCCAACATTGCAGAAATGCACGAAATCGTTCATGCATTCACCCACCAACCACATGCACACTCACCCCAACATGCACACGCACACACGCAGATTCGCCCCACCCACACCTCCACCTTCCACGGCCATGCCCCCCATTCCCCTGCCACCCACCCACACTCTCCGCACGCCCCTGCTCCTCCCCCCCAGCCGGCCTCTTTCCCTGCCTCTGCCTCAGCCTCGGCAAGCCACTCCGTGCGGCGGCGGCGGCTGCACATCATAGCCATTGGACTCTATTGCGGGCCGCACTGGATCCAAATCTTCATGCGCCTTGCCACCCACTTCTCCTCCCCACCTCTCCTCCCCGCCACCGCCACCACCGCCAATGGGCATGCGCCAAGTGGCATCCCAGGTGGGGGAGCAGGGGCAGTACCGAATGGAACTGGTGGGGGTGTGAGCGGTGTTCAGGGCAGAGCAGGGGCGTTTGGGGCAGGTATACCTGGGGGAGGTGCGGCAGCAGATGCACCTGTGGCAGGCAGCAATAGCTTTACCAGCAGCGGCAGCACAAGCGGCAGCAGTGGGAGCACACACCCCACCACTCTTCCTACACCTCCCCCGCCACGCTCCACAGCCCATGTGAAAATCACAGCCGTTGATTTCGGGATCATCAAAGTGGAGGAGTATCCAACAGGCCTGGTGCATCTGGGCGGGCAGTACCTGGAGCAGGTGGCATCTATGATGGGCCTCTCCCTGTCATTCCATGGCATAGAAACCAACCCACTCGACTTCCACCCGTCGCAAGTGGAGGTGGATGAAGGGGAGGAGGTGATAGTGCTGGCTAATTGGGGCCTCATGGTCTTTCCAGATGACACAGTGCTGCGCTCCAACCCCCGCAACTCTATCCTCAAGTGGATCCGCGACCTGCACCCGCTGCTCCTCCTCCAGGTTGACATTGATTTGGATGCCAACGGGCCCTTCTTCCTCTCGCGCTTCCACGCTGCGTTCGCCAACTTCGCGGCGTTCATCGAGTCATTTGATGCTTCCATGCCGCACTCTGCCTCGTCACGCTTTGCAGCGGAAACCATTCTCGCGCGGGATTTAATGAACGGGGTCGCATGCGAGGGCATGAACCGATGGCTGCGGTCGGAGCGGCTCGAGAAATGGGTGCATCGGATGAGAGTGGTGGGGCTGGAGCCGGTACCTTTAGGGCCGGACACAGTGGCGGCTGGGAGGGAGATCACAGAGGGGAAGGACAAGAGGTTCAGGTTAGAAGTGCATGCTGAGACGGGCGCCCTGCAGCTCAGCTGGCGCGGTGTCCCGATGATCTTCGTAGCCGCCTGGAGATGAGCTTCGAGATGTGTTAAAAGCCGCAGCGTACCGCGCCTGGAGATGAGCCTGTGATCGATTCCTGCTCTGATCGGCAAATTGGCGGGGCAACAGCAATGACAGCAGAGCCAGGAAGGCTGCTGTAATCAAACCAGGGTAGGTTCTCGCCCAGTTTCGCACACGGTATGTTTCTTGTGCTTTATGTTTTGCGCCCGCTTGTGTCTATCCATCGTTCCTCCCTTCTGACTTCTCGTTTTTTCTTCCGGAAACCCCGGCTTGCTTCCACCGTCCTATTTGTTGCTGCAGATTTGCGTAATATTTGTTGTAAGCCATCCCATGGAGTCGTGTGGTAAGCGAGCCACGACCCATCCTTCCAGCAGCTTTGGAAAATTCCTCAAATCACATCATGAGACGACACTTATATCCAAACGCACGTTATAGTCCCAGTGCTTCCAGATCAGTGTTCACACACTGGACAACCATTTGGTTCAGTGATAACGCCTGGTTGAAGTGTACGTGACAATGAAACTGGATTCTGAAGTCTGGAATTTCCTTTAACATTTCCAGGTTCATCAGGTGCACAGAAGTGCCTGATGACTGCAAATTTGTCGACAGAGGACAGTCTACAAAGAATCATTTGGAACTAATAAGTTGCCAACCGAGAAGGTTCTCTAAAGCGGACTGACACCAAATCCAGGTGTATTTATCAGCGCTGTTCGATTAACCCTCGCGAACGTTTCTGACTTCGCAGCGTCTCGGTCACCCAACCAACCCCACCGACGGGGGGAGATCTGTTGTTACTCACAGCCAGCGCATTTCGAATCCGTATCGCTAACTTCATCACAAGCCATCCATCATCTTCCCCCTATGACCCAACTTGGTGCCATGAGGTGATGGTGACGATGAGCTGAGATGAGGTGATCAGAATCTACTCATCCCTTTATTTCGCAGTTTTTACCTTGTTTTTCCCTGGCGTGCCAACCGAGCCTCCTCCGTTACCTCCGACGTTCCGCTGACGTTACCCTTTATTGATCCGTCCGTTAGGACCAACGGAGCCGATTAACCTTTTCGAAACGGTGTCGTTGCTCATAACCGCCTCATCCGATAATAGGCGACGCATTCCGCCGTTCTTCTGCTGGCCCTGGTGCAACCGCGGATCGTCAAGTCCGCCGACGATCGCGTTCCGTGAATATTCTGATCAGAGGATCAGAACTTAAATTCGCCTTTTGAATTCATCACTCAGCACAGATGGGTAGAAAGAAGAACCAGAAGGGCCGTCAACAGACCACCGCTGGTGCGGCACCAGCGGCTCCTAGCCCAACCGACAACTCCGCAGCTCCCGCCGCGACTTCCGCCACCGATCCTCCCGCCAAGAGCACCGCAGCTGATCCGCCTTCCGCACTACCGGCCGCAGGCGCGCCGTCCGGGGAAGATCTGCCGCCGATCAACGTGACATCCCCTTTCCGCGCCACCGCGAGTCGCGATTCCATCGACTCGCACGACGCCGACGTCTTCGTCGAGCCGCCGGAGCACTTCAGCGACGGATCGCGAACTCCGCACGATGGTAACCGCACTCCCACCTTCGAGGACGCTTCCGGCAGATTCCCGCTCGAGTCGCCGATGGCGAATGGTAGCAGCGGCGCCGGGGGCGGCGGAAGCGGCGGGTTCGGCGCGCAGGTGGAGGCGGAGAAGCTGCGGAAGCAACTGGAGGAGATGACGCTGCGGTGCCGGGAGTTGGAGGAGGGGAAGCGCGGATCGGAGGTCGCGCGGAAGAGCGTTCAGCAGGCGAAGAACGCGCTAGAAAAGGATGTGGCGGCGGCCGCGGAGAAGACGTCGAAGGCGGAAGAGGCGGCGGCTGCGGGGAAGGCGGAACGCGCGCGCCTGGAGGGGCTGGTGACGGCGGCGGAGGGGGAAGTCGCGCGGCTGAAGGGGGAAGTAGCGGGGAAAGAAGCGGAGGTGGGGAAGTTGCTGGGAGAGATGGATCTAGCGAAGAAAGAGTCAGAGGCGTTGAGAGGCGAGATGAGTGAACAGGTCAGGGCTCATGAGGAGTTGGTGCGGGCGCTGAAGCAAGAGTCGGAGGCCCTGGCGGCAGCGCGAGACGCGGCGATCAAGGAATGCGCGGAGGCCAAGGAGAAATGCGCCGACCTTTTGAAGTGAGCGCGAGCTAGGGGTTGATTGCCGGATATTTGCAGATGATCGCGGGGTTCAGGGGTTTGCCATGTCACGTGCAACATCGTTTCAACCTATAAGGTGCCTGCTTCTTGTTTTGTGCAATCGTCACTCGATCCTCACTTAATCTTCTCCCTCTTCCCCTCTTTCCCCCGCTTTCACCTCCTCCCGCCTTTCTCCAGGGCTTCAGCTGAGGCGGCGGCCAGAATGGACGAGCTTTCCCGCTCCTTGCAGGCGTTGGAGCAAGACAAGCAGGGCTGGGCGGCAGACAGCGAAAAATGGGCGGCAGAGAAGAGCAGCTGGGAGGAGGAACGGGCAAGCTGGGCGGCAGAGAAGAGCAGCTGGGCGGCAGAGCGGGAGAAGTGGACGGCAGAGAAGGCATCTAAGGAGAAGGCGAGTGGTGAATTGGACGAAGGGCGGAGAGAGCTGGAGCAGCGTGTGGAGGCTCTCGGTGCTCAGTTGGCCGCAGCTGAGGCAGCAAGGGCAGAGGCAGACGCGGCGAGAGGAACGGCAGAAGCGGCAAAAGCAGAGGCGGAAAGGGCGAGAGCGGCGGCAGAAGTGGCAAGGGCGGATGTAGAGAAGACGCTGGAGGGGAAGAGGGGCGAGTCGGACCACGCCACCAGGTAGGGTTGTCGTTTCCGTGCTCCTGACTGTGCGGCTGGGCTGCTTTCGTTGCGGCAGGAGGCAGCCCGCCTAGCGGAGCTGCAGCAGAGCCTCACCTCACCCTCGTGTGCATCCGTTTTTCCCCTTCCCCGTACTCTTCCCCCTCCCACCTCTCCTGGTGCGTCCCAGAGTGGCAGCCAAGGCAGCAGCTCGTCTGGCGGAGCTACAGCAGAGCCTCACGCAGGCGCAGGTGGAGCTGGTGCAGGCGCACTCCGCGCTACAGGACAAGGACGCCCAGTTGACGGGCAAGGACGCGCAGGTGCAGGCTATGACGGAGCAGATAAAGGCGCTGGAGCAGCGGGTGCAGGCTGTGGAAGAGGAGAAAAAAGCACGTGCGGAGGAGGCGAGGAGGAAGGAGGAGGAGGCGAGGGAGGCGAGGCGAGAGGTTGAAGCAGTGAAGGGGGAGCTTGGCGCGCTGCAGGGGGAGTTGAAGGCAGCCGCGCAGCAGCTTGCTCAGGCGAAGCAGGAGGCGGATGCGGGTGGGGAGAGTGCGGGGAGCAGGGTGGGGGAGCTGGAGGCGCGGGTGGAGGCTGTTCTGGGGGAGGTGGCATCTGCAGCGCAGGCGCGGGCGGAGGTGGAGGGGAAGCTGGCGAGTGGCAGCCGGGAGAATGCCAGGCTGGCAGAGTGAGTGTGCTGCTGTGTGCTGTTCTGTGCTGCACTGTGACTGTATTTGTGTGTGCGTGTGTGTGTGTGGATGTCTGTGTGTGCGCACGGACCTGTGTTGGGCATTCAGGGGACAAGCACGTGGTGTGCAGCTGTATGCAGTCATGTGCGTTCGCATGCCGTCTTGCCACGGCTGGCCACCTTACCCCCCCTTTCATCCGTTCTGCCCATACCCACGCTCGACCCTTGCCAAACACCGCTGCCGTACCAACCCCCTCTGTCCCTTTCTCTCCCACCCCCTACCCGTTCCAACCCCCTTCCCGCCCCTCTTTCCCCCAGGCTGGCAGCAACCAAGGAAGCAGAAGCCAAAACCATGTTTGCGCAGCTGGCGCAGGTGAAGCGGGATAACGCCTCCCTCAGCAACGACCTGGCAGCCGCTACAGACAAAATCGAAGAGCTAGTAGCCAAGAACCGCCGCATGGACAAGGATGTGGTAACCGCCGCGGCCGAGGCAGCGTTACGGGAGCAGGAGGGGGGAGGTGGGAGTGGGGGAGGGTGGAGCTCTGTGGCGCTGGTGTCTGTGGGTGTGGGGGCTGCGGCTGTGGGGGGGTTTGCTGTCCTGCGACTCATGGGACCCCGGGCATGAGAATGAGAAGGAAGTGAACAGGAGGGGGGTTTGCTGTCCTGCGACTCATGTGTGTGAGATGGAGAGGGTGTGTGAGAGGGAGGGTGTGAGGGAGGGAGGGTAGAGTGTGACAATGGGAGGTGAAGGGTGTGTGTGAGGGGGGGGTGTATGGATGGATGGGAGCTGGATTGACTGATGGGAGCGACTGACTGACTGAACTCTTGATTCAGAGGCGTGTGAGCTAGTATTTCCTGCATGGCTCAATCGGAGTGCTCCTTTGAAGGGTTGGGATGGGCTAGAACCAAGATTTTCTGATGAACCGTTTTGTCAGTGTTCCAATGGCCATATCCTGACATTACCCTGCCTGTTTTTGCCAGAGATAATTCAAAGAAACATTTTCCATGAGTCCTTTCTGAATGGCCTGTACTGTGTTCAGAATTTTTGTTTATTGTAGCAAGGCTTACTATAGCAGCTTTATTAACATAGGCTGTTGCACAGTGCACTTTGACTGTAGCAGCTAGCTACCTGCAGCAAAAAGCTACACCATCATCTAATACGCTGTATATCTTACAGTATACACCAACGTTTACCATGCGGTATACCTATACCTAAACCTCTATAGCAACGCACTTGGTAACGGTCCAGTAGTTCTCTGCCACGGGGCGGTAACCCTTGGTGCAGGCACAGCGGTAGCCGAGGGGGGAGAGGAAGTTGGGTTGGCAGATGCTGCTGGGAGGACACTTGGGGTTGGGCGGACACAGCTTGCGCACCAGCTTATTTGTCACTGAGTGTGTGTGGGGGGTGTTGGGGTGGATTGGGTTTGGGACGAGAAATGAAGGGGAGTGAGTGTGAGAAACAGCAGGCTGGATCTGGTAGGTAGACACTTCCTGCTGTTCCAGGGACACTTGGGGTTGGGGGGACAGGGCTTGCTCATGCGAGGTGAATGGGGAAGAGGAAGGGAGGCTGTGAGTTGGGAGGCAGAACGGAGAGACAAGAGGAGGATGGGGTGGGATTTACAGGGCATTGATGCAGAAAGGGCACTTGGCAGAGGAGGACGAGGCCGGCACTTACGATTAGTACTGCATGGCAGAGGGAACTTTGAAATGGAACTGTCTTGAAAGGGAACTTCCTCTCAAAGGGGAACTTCCTCTCAAAGGGGAACTTCCTCTCAAAAGGGGAACTTCCTCTCAAAAGGGAACTTCCTCTCAAAGGGGAACTTCCTCTCAAAAGGGAACTTCCTCTCAAAGGGGAACTTCCTCTCAAAAAGGGAACTTCCTCTCAAAAGGGAAACTTCCTCGCAAAAGGGGAACTTCCTCTCAAAAGGGAAACTTCCTCTCAAAAAGGGGAACTTCCTTGCAACACACAATCATCCCCTCCCACCCCTTCCTCAAGAGGGATCTTCCTCCCAAACCTCGCCCCCACACCTTTCACGCAGTATTGGTTGTCGGCCGTGGCAGCAGCGCCCTTCTGGCATTGGCAAGCAGCATACACCACCGCGCTGTCGTTCTTGCGCAGACTGGCCGGCACACACGCGCCCCGCCGCCCGCACGTGCCCAGGCGGCTCGCCGCCCGGCAGAAGGTCCAACATGTGCTTGCGCTGCGCTGAGGGGGCTTCTTTCCACAGGCCTTCTTGTCCCACCTGTACCCGTGGGGGGGCGTGTGAGGGGCGATGGCAGGGAACAGGGGGAAGGGAGCAGGTGGGTGTGTTGTCCAACAGGTGCTTGCGCTGCGTTGAGGAGGCTTCTTTCCACACACCTTCTTGTCCCACCTGTGCGTGGTGGGGGGTGTGAGGGGCGATGGGGAAGGGAAGAGAGGTGTTGGTCCAGCAGGCACCTGCACTGCACTGCACCGCAGCAGCATAGATACACTCAGGAGCTTCAACCATAGCTGCTTTGCACCCACCTTAACGTAAAAGGTCTCACACACGCACCACTTGAGGCGCAGGCAATTGGTGTCCACGTGGGACTCGGCGGAGCAGAGGGAAGTGCCGCTCTTGGCGCGAATTCACGGCAATGCAGTGATGCTGAATCCACGAGCCACAAACACATGCACCTTTGTGTCCATGCACAGACACTGCCCCTTCAGGCACAGGCCTCTGAGGCACTGTCACACGCACCACTTGAGGCGCAGGCAGTTGTTATCAACGTCGGACTCGGAGGGACAGATGGAAGTCTGCACCTCTTTCTTTAGTGTCCCTAATAAATAATCCGGCCTCTCTACTGTCGTCACACGCACCACTTGAGGCGCAGGCAGTTGTTATCGACGTCGGACTCGGCGGGGCAGAGGGAGCTGCCGTTCTTGGCCTTGTATGACACCTCTCCCACAAAGTAGTTGGACGCCAGGCTGTGGTATGGCAGCGCCAGGTAGCGTGGCGGGATGGTGCCGCTCAGATAGTTGGAGCACACGTTGCTGTGAAGGGTGGGGTGGGGTGGGAGAGGGTGCGGAGGGGTGAAGAGGGGTAAAGTGGGGTGGGAGGTAAGAGACCTCCCCCACAAAGTAACTGGACAACAAGCTGTGGTACGGCAGCACCAGGTAGCGCGGTGGGATGGTGCCGCTCAGATAATTGGAGCGCACGTTGCTGTGCGGTGAAGGGGGAAAGGATGGGTGGGAGAGGGTTGGGAGGTACGAGGGGTGTGAGTTGCGGGGAAAGAAGCGCAGTGCAGTGCATGCCGATTCATAGCACATTGCTAATGCTTCGCTCACATGGGGTGTCCTTTGTTCATTGCGCATTGCTGATGCTTGACTCACACGAGTTTCACACTGTTGATCCTATTGCTCAGGCGTTATCTTCACACTGCTGCCCTTCTAATACGAGTCAAGAAGGCATCGATGCACATGGGGTGTCCTGTGTTCATTGCGCACTGCCGGTGCACATGGGGTGACTCACATGTCGGTGAGCAGCTTGAGGCGATCGATGTTGGGAAGCGTTCCCGATAGATAGTTGCTCTCCAGATTGCTGGTACAACCACAGTGGACGGCACAGCACAGTGCACGGCACAGCACATGCCAGAACACGCAACACACACCAGTCAGAAATCTCATCAAGTTAGAATCTCGGCAAAATAGGCCATGTTCCCCCATGTGTGTGTTTCGGCCAGGCTGGTCAACTGGAGCCTCACAGCCCGATTCCTGGCATTGTGTTTCCATAAATGGAACATCCCTCATATGTGCTCTCCTTTTCACCTCGGGATGCTATCTCTCGCTCACATGCTTTGGATGTTGGCGAGGCGAGTCAGTTGCTCCGGGATGCTCCCACTCAGCTTGTTGTAGTTGAGCGACCTGCCGTGGTGACGTGGCAATGAGATGGTGATGTGGCAACGAGATGGTGACGTGGCAATGGGACGGTGATGTAGCAGTGGGATGGTGACGCATTGGGATGATAACATGGCAACGGCCATGTGTTGGACGAGCAATGGAATGCAACACAGAGTAGCGTGCTTAAAAAATAAATAAATAAATATATAAATATTTATATTTAGGAAAGACAATGCAACGTCATGGAGACCAGTATGTGGCACAGCAGAGCAGCGTGGGGAATGGAGCATGAAGCGTGGATAGAAAACGATGCAGGAGAAGGAGGGAAGGTAGGAGGGGGGAAGGGATGGAGGCTGACAGGTAGGTGAGTTGGGGGAGGGAGGCGAGGGCCGCGGGGATGGACCCTGTCAGCCAGTTGTAGCGTAGCCCCCTGCCATGGGGGGGAGGGGGTAGGGGAGAAGGGGTAAAGAGAGGAGGATTTGGGGGAGCTGTGAATGGTGATAGTCTCTCGTTGGGTGGCGGATGTGTGTGTTTGACTGGTTAGCTGAGTTGACTGCGTTGACTGCGTTGACTGCGTTGACTCACAGGAACTGCAGGCTCTTGAGGCGTGAGAGTTCCTTGGGGATGTTGCTTGAAAACATGTTGTTGCTCAGACGCCTGCCACGGGGGAAAGATAGGTGGGGCGAGGGAGGGAGGGGTGGGGGAAGGGAGGGAGGGAAGGGCGTGAGAGCTCCTTGGGGATGTTGCTTGAAAACATGTTGTTGCTCAGCCGGCTGTAGCGGGGAAAAGGATACATGGGACGAGAGGGGGAGAGGTAGGGTGAGAGAGGGAAGGAGGTGCAAGTCCCTTGGGGGAAAAAAGGAATAATTTATTTGTTAAATGTATAAGGGGGAAGGAAAAGCTGAAAGATCAGTGATGGGACATTCGTGTACAAATGATGACTGAAACTTCACTTGAATGATCGCCTGAATGCAGCATTCGGAAAGAGGGGGAGGTGCAGAGGACAGGGAACGAGGGGGGACTCTCACAGGTAGGAAAGGGAGAGGAAGCTTCCGATGTATGCAGGAATGCTGCCCCCAAAGGCATTATCGTTCATGTACCTGCAACAGTAGAGTTGGGGCAAAGTTGAGAGTAGAGTTAGGACAGTTGTGGTAGAGTTGGCAGTGGGAGAGAATCAGGGGACTCAAAAATCGAAACTTGACTAGTTAAAGTTTGAAACTCCAAATATGATGGAATATAGTGAAGGGTCAGTGGCATCGTTACAGTCACATCCGCACAGCCCCTCCCACTGACTATCTCAGTCACACCCATGCGTTCCCACGCACACTCACATTGTCACACCCACACACTCACACTTAAAGTCAGTCACACTCAGAGGCTCAAAGTTTCCTCTCTCACACTGAGAAAGAGAAACTCACAGTTCCCGCAGGTTGGTGAGAGAGGAGAAGGAGGGTGGCAGTTTGCCGCCCAGAGCATCTCCACCGTGCGACAACACTCTGCCGTGATTGGTGGAGAGGGAGGGGGAAGGGGGGAAGGGAGGGAGGGAGGACATGGAGGGTGGTAGCGGCCCTAGGGAAACCCAGATATGTTCCTGCTTTGAGTTGGGACCCTTGAGTTGACTGACTTAGGTTGACTTGGGTTAACTCGGGGGTTGACCTTGGCTGACTTGGGTTGACCTGGGTGACGACTTGGCTGATATCGGTTGACTTTCATTGACTCACAGCTTTTTCAGGTTCTTCAGGTTGCCAAGGCCAGGTGGGAGAGAT